ATGGTATTTATAGTAGTACGTGTCAATTAGTTTCCATCAAGATGTCAATGGAATTAGCAACAACTGTTTCATGAATGCTGTTATAATATAGATATACCTATTCCTACTTTATTTTTTTAGCTTTCTGATCCGTTTACAACATCTCTCTCCTACAACCATTGATCCGCTTACATAGGGAGTTGCAACATACAATCACCTTTCACGTCAAATAACATTATATGCAATGATAAACTGGTATAGTCTTTAAAAGTTGCAAAGCTATGGCTGTGGCAGATTTTGATTGCTTTATGAACTCAGTCACTTGTTTATAAGTAATGGTTTGCAACATATAGTTTTGTTTTGCTTCTGTGTTATGCAGTTTTGTTCTTCCCACCCACCCTCCTATCCCCCATCCCTTTAATGAATCTTAGTGATTGGTGAATTCCGGTGTGAGGGAACTAAAATAATTATCAGGTAAAAGGCAATAATGAATCTATGTTGACTGGATGATGACATTCAAGTAAAGCCAAATGCACATTGCTGAGTGCTGAAGATGATGCATTTAAATCAAGAAATATACATTTATAATTACTTTCCTTTAGATGGTGGGGACAGGTAGCTCTTCAGATATGCCCTAATAGCATTCTTGGCAGGCCCAGTCCACAAGACTAATGTCAAAGGCATCAAGAATTTGCTAACAACAATAGTTATCACTTTCCAAATTTCTTTTGATTGAGGATATCTCTTAACTACAGGGCAAGTTTTGTTACAAATACTATATACAGATTTCTACATTCATTGTATTTAATAAAGGAAGTTCGTTCCACCCTTTTTAAAATGCACACTTCTGATCAATTTGTACAATTAAACAGAATGCTGTTTATTCCAATTTAGGAGATTATGGATTAAAGACTTAAGTGATTACAGCTTGTCTATACATGTGGATTGGCCTATGCAAGGGTGCAGTAATGGAACAGTTAAAATATTTAAGATGGAACCTACATAAAGAGTTTTTACTTTAAGGATCTTATAGGAAATCATATGTTCCTTTAATGTTATGCTACAATTAAGTAGAATAAATTTATTGTGACCGGCCTAAAATCCAGCGAGGAAGCAGCATATAAAGTAGTGCAACTAATAAGTATGTGTACTATGCTTAGCAAGCAACCTACCAAACACATTCTTTTGTGGCCTAGAATGATATAAGCACAACAGAGCCTCTTGTTCCTTTTTTTGCCCATCTCTAGTGATAAAATTTCATGTTCAAAAAGTTTTTTCTGACAGTAGATACATTTGTACCAACATGTTCTGTGGACTTTTCTTAATCAACAAAATTATTTGCATGAATATGTAAATAAACTACATTTGAAAATATCCTTGGGATTATAGTGTTGGTACATGAATTCAGAGGGAACTATCAACCATCGATCAATGCATGTCTCAGTGGTTTTTGGGTTGTTTTTGTTTTGCATCATTGGCAGGCAAGAAAAAAACAAGGGCTGACAGAAATTCATGCACTGTCACCTTCATATCTCCTGTTGTTCCTACTTCAGGGAGACACGATAGCTGTACTTAGATATTTAAAGAGAAATTACAAGGAAGCTGGCCAAGAATTTTATTTCCGTGGTCTTAGAAACTGAAATACTGGGTATACAAGTAGTCCTCGACTTAGGACCACAGTTGAGTCTAAAATTTATGTTGCTGTTTGTAAAGTGAATTTTGTCCCATTTTACAACCTTTCTTGCCACATTTGTTAAGTGAATCACTGAAGTTGTTGAGTCGGTAACATGGTTGTTAAGTGAATCTGGTTTCCCCACTGACTTGTCCAAAGGTTGCAAAAGGTGATCACATGACCCTGCAACTGTCATAAGTATGAAGTCAGTTGCCAAGCACCTGAATTTTAATCAGGTGACCATGGGGATACTGCAAGGGTCATAAGGTCATGTCACTTTTTTCAGTGCTATTGTAACTTTGAATGGTCAATTAAATTATTGTAAGTTGAGGATTATCTGTACATTGAAACTATACTTAGATGTTGTTTAAGGAAAAACTTTTGTACAGCAGTGGAACAATTTATCTGTTGCCAGCATCACTGGGTACAGCATACTAGGAAATCAACTACTCCCAGAGGGCTAAAAGAACTTTTATTGAACTTGGCTATATTTAGAGACCCTTGTAAGTCTGATTGTGCTGTACCATTATAGTTCCGTGAATCAGGGAGCCAGCTGAGCTGTTTCTGAATGTAATCTTGTTGCTCTGGTCTTTAAACATATTTCAGCCCTTTTGCCTAGGTCCGTGATGTTGAACCTATGGTACGCGTGCCAGGGGTGACACGCAGAACCCTGTGGGCATGCGTGCCGTCGTCAGCTGGTCTTATGGTTTCCAACATGCACATGCACAGCTGGTCTTCACAAGCGCCAGAAAATGACCTGAAAATGGCTTCCAAAATAGCCAAAAAACAGGCCGTCTTCTGGGTCATTTTCTGATCAAAAACGTCCCGAAAAATGGCTTGAAAAGAGCCCGAAAAATAGTATTGGAAGAAATGTCCTTCTGGGTTCAGCTCCAAGTGGGAAAAAAGACACTGGAAACATGGAGGCTGCTTGGAAAGATGGTTTAATGGTGGACAGGACCACATGGCTTGAGTCCTGAACAGAAAAGGTGATCACGTGCTTCAATGTTGGGTGAAGAATAAAGAGGAGATGCTGAAAGTTCCTTGTGTTATACTCGCTGTTTGGCCCCACCTCTCTGTTTCCTGTTCCTGTATAAGAAATGTATTCTGATTGGTTGTCAGACTCCCATGGGGCCAAGCAGGGACAACTCTCTAGGCTGTGTTTTGAGTCTCATGTTTGGTTGAGTTCTCAGATGCCATGTGGTGAGTTTGTGTAGAAGGCTAATACTATCATGCCTT